GCTTCAACTTGTTATCACAGTCTATGTACTTAGCTACTCCACATGTTATAAAACCAAATCCAACAGATAAGTCAGCACAAACAGTATTGCTACTTATCATCATGACTTACAAACCACTCCTATGAGGATTATAAAAGGTGTTCAAAATCATTTTTCTCTTTTTACCTCAGTCCAAAAATGAAATACATAGTTTTTGAGACATAGCCTTGCTATATGACTCAGAATGGTCCTCTTCCCTTAGCCACCCAAGTAATGAGATTACAGGCCTGTGTCACCATGCCCACCATGACTTTCACTATTTTGCATAATGCTACAAAACTTTTTCCTACCTGTTTCTTTATTTCTAAAAAATCTTAAAATTCAAAACACAAAATTTAATTTCCTTCTACTTTTTCCATGTTCTCTGTTTTTCCTTCTTTTTATTTTTCTTTTCTTCTTCCTTTTCATTTTCCTGTGACATGAGTTATTAGTAAAAGTCTCGCCCTGGTTGCTGAATAATGCCTGAAACCTGGCATTGTTTGTCCCTTGCCACCTGCATCAAGTTATAATAGGCTAAACCCAATTTTACTTACTATGACAAACTATTCTGTTTCCTTTTCCAGGTCACCACCCCACTTGCCCATCTCTAGTGAGTCATGATTTCCAAATCAAAAAATCTGACATGTCACTCTCCAGAAGCACTCCAAATGGGAAGTCTTTCTTTAAAGTATTTTGTCCAGTTTTTCCACTGTAATTCTCCTGGCAAAGAGTACAGACATGGGTTTTAAGACAAACGAGGCTATTATTATATCTTTGATCTTTTTAAAGTTTAACCTTCCTAAAAAATGACCTGTCAGTTATTAAGAGGTTGTTTTTTTTTTTAATCACAAATACAATCTAGATCAAAAATTGTGACAACTGGTCCAGCTTAGTTAAAAAAAAAAAAAGAAAAAATTTGAGAGCCGGGCATGCTGGCACATGCCTTTAATCTTAGCACTTCGGAGGCAGAGGCCGGCGGAGCTCTATGAATTCAAGGCCAGTCTGGTCTACATAGCAAGTTCAGAACTGCTATGGCTACAGAGAAACCCTGTCTCAAAAAGACCAAAAAAAAAATTACAATTTGAGTTAATAAATGGTATAAGGCATAATAAAATCATTACCAGGGCAACGGAACTTTTTTCATGTAATAGGAATTAAAGTGGGAGAAAAAAAAAACCTAATTGGGGGAAAGAATTGCAGCCCTGGGTTAGTGAGATGGCTGAGTGTTAAGAGCAATGGCTGTTCTTACAGAAGACCTGGGTTCAAATCCCAGCACCCACATAGTGGCTAACAAGATAACTTCAGTTCCAGGGGATCCAATGTCCTCTTCTGTCCTCTCCAGACACTGCACGATATGGATGCACTTGCACACATGCAGGCATAAGACTCATACATATAAAACAAAAAAAAAATACACAAATAAAAAGAAATAAAAATAGAAAAGAAATGCAGCCCCAACAGTATTTCAAGAAATTATGCCTACATATGTAAATATATAAATTATAAGGGGCTGAAGAGATGGCTCAGCAGTTAAGTGCACTGGCTGCTCTTGCAGAGCACCCAAATTTGTTTTCCAGCACCCAAATAGTGGCTAACAACCATCTGTAATTCCAGTTCCAGGGGATCCAATGCCCTCTTCTGACCTCCATGGGCATTACACTACATGGGTACACTTACATGCATGCAGGCAATACACTCATACACATAGAATAAAAATAATCAATAAAATATTTAAACTGTGGAAAAATTTGAAGATATAGTAAATTGGGAAAAGAAAATAGCTATCTATATTAAGGCAAGCTATATAGACAGCAAGATGGTTCAGTTGGCAAAGTACTACACAGACATGAGGACATAAATTCAATCCTCAGAACCAATGTAAAGGTGGCCAACGAGGTTGACCCTGCCTACAACCCAAGCCCTGGGGAGACAGAGGCAGAAAGATCACTGGGACTCACTAGCCAGCCACTTTAACCTAACTGTTGTGCCATTAAAAGACCCCATTTCAAAGGAGACAAAAAGTCCACTTGAGGATCATCCCTGAGATTATCTTCTTGCCTCCACATGTGCACATGTTCATGTATAACCCCCATACACACACACACTATCAACACACACACGCAAACACATACACACACATTTTAATAAGATAAACTAAAAGGTTATATATTTAGCCATGATTCAACTGATTGAATTTTGATCTCACACATCTCAAGCTGGACTCCGTTTTGGGTTTCAATTAGGGTAGCACATTAATTAAAATGTTGATAAGTTGCCTTGGCAAACTTAATCATGAAATTCTCACCGTGGCAGTGTTCCTCAGTCTCCTCATCTATATAATTTTGAGGAATTGTGAAATGCTGTCTTTCACCTCCCAAGTGTGGAGAGTACAGGTATGAGCCACCATGTCAGGCTATTAAATCTCTAATTGTTAGACAGAAGAGGATGAAAATTACTAGATAAAAATCTGAAGTATAATTCACTTTTTTCTGGAACACTGGGTAAATTATACTTCCACAGAAGGGAAAAAGAATACAGATTTCACCATAATCTCCCATAATTTGTATAAATGTTAATGTTTATATTACTTCAGCATAAAAATTGAATAATACAAAAGTTTAGTCATAACGTTGTTGGCATTTACAGTTTTACTTGTTTAATATTAGCTTTTTACCCAATTTTGACCATGAAGATTTTCAGGCTTTTCTAAGCTATCATTGTACATTTGATAAAATAAAATATATTGGATGAGAAATAATATTTTTTTGTTTTCCATCCCTTTTTGAGTTTTGCTTTCTCTCCAGCAGTAAGATAACTTTTCTTCAAATAGAAATTTGATAAACATTAGAAAATAGAAAGCATCATTTAATGATTTTGCAAAAAATGAAACCAATTTTCTAAAACATTAAAACTATACTATCTAGAGCAACAATAAATGAAACTTGAAAAGACAACTATTCATAGGATTTTTTTTAAAGTTTCCATCATTTAAATATATTAACATACATACTAAAATTTTAAGTATAAGAGAGTAGAGTCATTCATTTGGGTCTATTATTTTTTTCTGTTGAGATCATATAGTGAATTTTACACAGATAAAATATACTTTTAAAACGTGACTTCTGGTAACTATGAAATGTTTTATTGAATACTCGGACATAATTATAGGCCATGATGGAATATAGTGGTAAACTTCCAATTTCTGAAGCTGATATCTCAAGATTTGAGTTACAGATCCACACCTGCTGGTGATGTTGGGCGGGGAAGTCATTTACTTCTCTGAATCTTAGCTAATTTGCTAAATAATGTTTTTCGATTAATGGTTAAAATTTTATTTTTCTGTTTATGGATTTAACTAGGCTGAATTTCAACTAACTCCTCTAGGGAACCATTAACACTGGGATTATCTGCAAAATACCACAGTTATGTATTTCAGCACCAATATGTTTATGAACAGAATTGTTTTCCCAAATAATTTCCTGTATTTTGATTCCTTTCTTTCCTTCCCTCCTTTCTTCCTTCCATTTTTATTGCTTTGCTTTCCTTCATTCATCTAATAAGATGGAAATTATAATCCCAAGTTCTTTACTGCAGTGTTTTGATATAACAAAAGAATTCTTCATGTAATAAAAGAAAATATGTACATGGGTAAAGAGGTTACTAATGAATCTCTTGAGTCTCATTAATGAAGCTTCCTCATGCAACAGAGGGTCAGGAACACAAAGGGTCATAAATGGCCAAATCATAGAGATTAAGAGTCTGCAGAATGCTGATCTTCAGATAAGACTCCTATATTAAACTTCATCCACTCAGGGCTCAGGGAGCATAACAGAACAGGGGATGAAAAGGACTGTAAGAGCCATGGAGGAGGTGCAAAATCATATGGAAATAGAGTCCTACAAGATCCTGAGACTCTGATCATATGAATCTACAGCAATGGTATCAGCATACAGAAGTCCCATGCAAACTCAGGCAGACAAAAATCCAGCATAGAACTGGGGGAATTGACAGGAGACCCCAGTCTTAGCTGAAGAAATACTGGCAACTGATTACTGCTAGGTCAGGAAGAGCTGATCGTCCTAAAGTGAGGGAATCTGTATAAGCTGACTAGCCTCAGTAATTGAACTTGCACTGAGAAACATCTGGCGACACTAACTTGATGCAATAGGTCTTAATGCAAATGACAGACAGAATGTATGAATTCCAGTGGGGGGGATTATTTGAGGGTGCCAGTGGGGAATGGGTATAAAGATGACTAAGTTCGACTGAGATGTTCTGTATGAAATACACATTTGGATGCCTGGATTTATCTGTGCCTGAAAAGCTACTGTAGACTTGGGATTATGATAACCAATACACAACTGGTTTTGTTTAACTGAGTTTTATTGGACTTTCAAAAAAAACAATTTTTTTAAAAAATCAGGAGTGAAATGTGGGAAAAAGTACACAAATTTAAGTACTATTAACAATATAATTATCATCTTATAAACAAGGGAATAGTTTTATAGATGCAAACATCACAAATATGTACATGATGACTGGTTATGTTTTAGGCCTTCCTTTTAGCAATCCAGCATTTTCAGCATGGTTGTTTTGCTATCAAGCTCTATGTTCCTCTTAGGCAGATATTAGCCTACCATTTTAAACTGATATTCTTTGGTTTGGTGTTTCACCCAACAGTGTATATTTCACTTTTCATTTGCTTTATTATAAATATACACTGCACTTTCAAGCTGCTAACACCCCTCTCCCAGCAAAATAAATAAATAAATAAATCAATAAATAAATAAATAAATAGTTTAATTCTGGCAATAGCATCCTGAGTATCCCTGGCAGACCCTCCTATTTGTAGCTAGACTTGGCCAAGGACTCTAACACAAGTTCCAGGAGTGGACAATGAAGCCCCATGATTCTCCTCATAGGGACTCATTCCTGAATGGAAATGTGGGCTAAATGAAGGATAAGAAAATGGGTACCCTTACCACAGCTAGAGAGAGGCAATACTCATCCACTGGAGATGATTAACTGCAGGAATGAAGGTCCAGAGCTTGTTTTGACCTTGGGTTACTTTCCTTGAAATATCTCCAACTCAGCAGGAAACAGAGCTGTGAAAAAGAAACACATTTGTATGCCTTTGTTTATCTGTGCCTAAAGAGCTACTGCAGACTTGGGATTACGATAACCAATACATATTTGGTTTTGTTTAACTGAGTTTTATTTGGTTTCCTCTCAAGTACAACAAAATAACCATTCTTAAGTATATGTTGTTTACTGATATATAATATACACTTTATTGAATGTTATATGAGTTTCCCTAAATTGATCTAACATTATAAACGTAATGGGTCAAAATGATCAAATAATTTTTTGAGAAAAATAAAATTTCCTACAGAACTATTTTTCATTTAATCTTTTGATGTTTTGAACATATTTATTATTATCAGAGGCTTGACTTAAAAAACATATGGAATTGCAAATGAGCCTTCAGTAGACTTTTCAGGTTGAAGGGAGAACTTATATGCCTTTAATGTTTTGTTTGCTTAAAACATGAGTTTTCATCAAACTTAGGATGGGATATTTAATTGCTTAGTTCATAATTTCTGGTGAGGATAATAGAGGGGATGTGCTAGATAGCTTTAGCTGTCAACTTGACACACCTGTTGTGGTGGTATGAAAGAAAATGTCCCCATAGGCTCCAAGTATTTGGACATTTTGTTCCCAGTTGGTGGTGTTGTTTTGGGAGGTCTTAGAAGATGTGGCTATCCTGGAGGAAGCACATCACTGGGGGAGGACTTAGAGAGTTCTTAAGCCTTGTTTGATCTCCAGTTGCTCTTTTGCACTTGTGCCTTGCTTGAAGATGTGAGAGCTTAGCTTTCACTGCTCCTGATCCTCCTGCCACCATGCCTCCCTGCCATGATGGACTATAATTCCCTGGAACTCTAAGCTCATGTAGACTCTTCATTCTATAAGTTGCTTTGGTCAGTGTTTCTATCACAGCAACAAAAAAGTGACTATTACACTTGGGTTGAGGAAGCCTCAATTGGGGAACTGCCTCCATTGAACTGGCCTGTGGCCATGTCGGTGGAGCATCTTCTTGATTACTGGGTGATGTGGGAAGGCCCAGCCCACTATGGGTGGTGCCAGCTCTTGGCAGGTGGGCCTATGCTGTATAAGAAAGCAGTCTGAGGATGGGCCAGGGGAGCAAGCCAGTGAAACAGAATTCCTCCATGGCCTGTGCTCCAGCTCCTGCCTCCAGGTTCCTACCCTGATTTCCTAACTTGGGCTCCCTCAGTGATGAACTATGACCCAGGAGCTTTAAGATAAAATAAACCCTTTCCTCCCCAAGTTGGTATTGGTCAGGGTATTTTGTCACAGAAATGGAGAAACAAACTAGAACAGGGGATCCATTTTAAAAAAAAATAGTAAGGAACAGATTTAGGAGACGTGAGAAATTTCATTAGCTGGATATATAAAGTGGAATTTTTGTTTGTTTGTTTGTTTGTTTTATTTATTTTTCTTATCTAGTTCCAATTTGTGTTGCCCAAATACTCTTTTTTTATATAAAGGTAATTTAAAAAGTTTTTTATTTGTTATTTTTATTTTATGTGTATGCATGTATTGCCTGAATGTAGGTAAGTGCACTCATTTTGTGCAGTGCTGGCAGAGGTCAGAAGAGACTGTCAGATCCCCTGGAACTGGAGTTATGGACAGTTATTACCTGCCATATGGGTGCTGGGAATCTAACCTGAGTCTTCTGCAAGAACATCCAGTGTTCTTAACTGCTGAGCCATCTATAGGCCCTATTTTTTTTTTTTTTTTTTTTTTTTTTTTTTTTTTTTAAGACAGGGTCTCCCTATAGCCCCAGCTGGAAGGGAACTTGAAATGTAGGATGGGCTGGTCTTGATGTCACAGAGATCTATCTGCCTCTTCCTGCTGAGTTCTGGGATTAAAGGTGTGCAACTCCACACCTGACTTTTTTGTAACCCAGGGCTCAGGGACCATTGCAGAGGAGGGGGCAGAAAGACTGTAAGAAACAGAAGTGGTGTATGAATACAAGCAAACTGTTTCCCAGGTGTCTAGAAACATGCTCATATAAATTTACAGCAATAGTGACAACATGCACAAGACCCATGAAAACTCAAACCAGACAAAAACTGAGCATAGAAGTAGGGGTAAGAAGTCCCCTACTTAACTGAGGAACTATTGGCAACTGATCACTGCTGGGTGAGGGAGAGTTGGTCTTCTTCAAGGGAGTGATGCTAGATCGGCCGACCAGGCTCTAGTGGATAAACTCATACCAAGTGACACAAACATGGCTCAATAAACCTTAACATACAAGACAAAATGCATGAAATCCAGCGGGAGGGGGGGTGCTATGGGAGAGTGCAGATAAGGGGGGGGTCTAAATATAATTGAGATGTATTATATAAATGCACAAATATTCAATTAAAAAAGACTAAAAAAAGAAAAAAAATCACAAAAAGTATTGTTGAGGATGTGGAGAAAGAAGTCCTTATTGTTGGTGGAGGTATAAATTGGGACCCAGTACACATACCACTATTCAAATAAATAGGAAGATTTCTCAAAAACTAAAACTGGAACTATCAAGTAGCCCAGCTATACCACTTCTGGACTTATTCCCAAAGGACTCTATATCCTACCATCAGCCTTCATGTCCATCAACTAACAATAATGAAATGTGGTACATATATACAATGGAACTTTATTCAATAAAAAAGAAAACTGAAATTGTGAAATTTGCAGGAAAATCAATGAAGTGGGAAAATATCATATTAACTGAGGTAAACCAGTTATATAAGGACAAATCACATGTTCTCATTTATATGCAGATCCTATCTTCTAATTAAATTTTATTAATTTATTTAATAATGCAGTGTATGGCATCTCCTTATTATTGATAAATTTATGTTGTATTTCACAATTAAGAAAAATAAAATACTTGTTGGTTGCAGAATAGAATTATTCCAATATTTTTCTATTTTTAAAGATTCTTTCCTATTTCTTTGAGGCTCTGCAAAAGGACAATAATTAAGAAAATCTTTCAAGTTCTACTAATGCATCACAGAAATGTCTAGCACAAATATATACTTTGACAGCTTGACTTTTACAAGCTTTTGACTGTCCTCAGATTTGACACCTACTATGTGATATCTGAATGGCCTATTAAAAATTTAAAAACTTGAATTTTTAGAACTACAAACATAAACTGAATTTTTTTTCTATAAGAAACTTGGATATATCAAATACCTGGGTAAAAAATTCCATCATTTCATTTTGAAGGCTGGTATATGTCATAGCAACAGAGATTATTCTAAAGGAAATTTTCTCCCTAGATACCAGGTATCAATCAATAAAACTTAAGCTTGTGACAGCTCATTTTTCCATCATTATTCTTTTTAAAAATATGACTATTCTTTTCTCTTATGTAAGTTTAAATATATTGTACTATCTCAACATGTATTTCTCCCCCAAAGTACCTGATTCTCTAGAAATTTCTTCTCCATTTTTCTCCTCTCTAGATTTCAATTCAAACTGAATTCAATCCAACATAACCAATAATGAAGCATACCATGCATACAAATGCATATTTCAGTCATTTCCTTGCAGTCTAAGCTATAAAATTATATATTATAAAATATTTATAAAGAACAAGGATTTTATTGACCAACTGTGACCATCTTTCTGTTCAGCCTCCTCACATATTTTCCTGATTAGTTCCTTCTATCTAACAAAACTTTTTAAATATCACTTTTTCAGTTTTTCTGTGACACATGGAGATAGTGTCCTATCTGTGAACAAAGAAAATTGTAATAATTTTATTTGAACTTAATCTCCCAATACCCAAAGAGAGGTAGAGCAGACCTCTTCTTTGTACACAGATCTATCAGAGGAATAAAAGATATAGCAATGGCAATAGAAGAACACTGATAAATTTCATTCGGAATTAAAATACATTGTACAGAAACCTGGTCCAAATCACTTAGAAAGCACTGCAACACAACACTAAGAATTCCCAACCTGCCTCTCCTGGGGGCATTTTTCAAAGGAGCTCATATATTTAAAAAAAAAGTACTTTCAAAGCTGTTATGTACAATACTAATGTGAGGCCATATAATTCACTACTAAAAGATGCATTCCAAGAAAAGTTACAACTTGTGTTGAAAAGGTAAAATGTGTAACCAAATTTCCCCATTCCAACAAGTAACGGGAGAGTCTGCACTTGCATGTAAACTTTTACAAAGACATTTCAACAGCGAACCATGGAAAATAGGAGCTCATGTAATGACAAGTATGTCTAATTTCCAAGCTGTGAATAGTTAAAAGAAGCAAATGATCAAAAGCAGCCTTCTTAATTCTCTGAATCTCTTAGTTACTGGGAAAGTACCAGCATCAGCTACAGGAAGTCACTCCCCTGCGGAACTCATCACAAGATGAAACCCAGCAAGCCAGTCTTCAGCACTTTGCTATGCATGAAAGCACTTAAATTCAAGTCAGCACAAAACTTTCCTGCTGACCATGAAGACCTCACTTAATGCAGCTAATGAAGGCAATACTGCTAGGACCACATTTTCATTTATATTTGCTATAACCATTTACAGCCCCCCAAAAAAGTGAAATGAAAGGAACAGCAGTCTATCAATGTCATAGTTGGAAGCAGGAAGGAAACCGCCACCTCTTTGGTGTGACTACTTTCTGTAAAACATAACTGAAGCCACTTTAGTAGTTTATAATAATAAGATTATGATGTGACAAATATAGTTTTTTCTTCATCTCCTCCTCAGTTTTATTCATGTAATAAACATTCATCAAACCGCCACTAAGTACTTGGCATTGTATTATGGACTGGAAATATAGATGAAGAAATCTATCTTATAATTTATTATGAAAAAAAATGACAAAAGCTTGCTATTATCAACGCCAAATTACATGCTGGCCTAGGAAGACCTCATATCTAACTCAACTCTTAATTTTGAAGCAGTACTCTGTACAAATTTGTTTACACAGATGAGGATGGATTCATAAGGTTCTGCTCATTTTTCAAAATGTGTTCATGGGTACAATGATATTTTATTTTCTAAATAAC